CGCCCCCTTCTCGTCGTTCTTTCCCTTGTCTCTTCTTCTACTGTCGCGTCGCTCTCCTCTGCTTCGTTCTGCGGCGCCGCCGCCTCCTGCCGGTCCCTTGCTCTCGCGGCTTCTTGCGCCTTTCGGCACAAGACACACAGCCAGTCCTGTACTCCTTGTTCTTGCGCCACAAATTTCTTCCTCGACGACGCGACAAGCCACGCAGCCTCTCCCCGTCTCTCCCCGTAACCATGGCGTTCTGGGGCCTTGAGATCCTGCCCGGCAAGCCGATGCCGCTCAACCTGACACGACGCCTCGTCGTCAAGCAGGCCGCGCTTGTCGTTTCCAAGCCCGCCAAGAAGACCGAGCCGTGCGTACTCTCGGTCTGCTGCCACCACCGCCCGCTCCGGAGAAAGCCTGCTCCCGCACCGAAAGCCGGGCCATCCGTGCGTACTTGCAGCGTCAGTGGGCTCGCGTCGCTTCTCCGCACGAGCTCTCATTGCCTCATTCTCCTTCTCTGCCGATGCCGCTGCTGCCGCCCACGCCGCCGCCGCCCGGCTCTCCGGACGGCGGTCTCCTCCTGGTTCCCATCGCACCGCCGCCGCCGCCTCGCAGGTGTCGGTCGCGGAGGACGAGCAGCGCTACGTTGTCTGCCGGCTGCACGAGGGCGTGCTCGAGCAGTGCCCGATGGAGCTTCCCTTCTCGCCAGGCGACGAGGCGCAGGTTCCGAGCGCCCTCTGGAGACACTTCCGAGACACTTCCGAGACACTTCCGAGGCGCAGGTTCCGAGCGCCCCCGATGCCGACCGCGCTACTGCCCTCGCTACGCGCTGCCTCCGAGCTCCATGCCGCCACCGCCGCCCTCGCCTCCGCCGCCCTCCTCCGCCACTGCCGCCCTCCGCCACTGCCCTCCTCACCGCCGCCGTCCTCGCCGCCGCCACCTTCGCGCCTGGCCGGCGCAGTTGCACCCCAGCGGCACCGGCCAACTCTTGATAGCTAATTTGTCCATTCGTAGGTCCACCTCAGCGGCGGCCACGCGGTGCGGCCTCAGCTGGCTTCCTCCTCTAGCTGTGAATCATCAAGTCTCAACTGTTAGCTACGTCTGGACAGGTACAGGTGCACCCTCATATAGCTTCCTCCTCTCGCGCTGAATCAACTGTTGACTGTCGTCTGGCAGGTGCACCTCACCGGCTTCCTCGAGCTGGACGACGAGGTCGACACGGGGGACATGGACGGCCACACCGTGAACAGCGTCTCTTCACACCTCCAGCTGTGAACAGGACGACATGGAGGACATGGACGGCGAGCTCGACGAGCTCGACGAGGAGAGCTCCGACGAGGTCCGGGGCACTTCCGAGACACTTCCGAGACACTTCCGAGACACTTCCCTCGAGGAGGAGAGCTCCGACGAGGTCCGGGCACTTCCGAGACACTTCCGAGACACTTCCGAGACACTTAGGAGGAGAGCTCCGACGAGGTCCGAGACACTTCCGAAGACACCTCCGAGACGCCTCAGAGCTTGCGAGGAGCCTCCGTAGGTTGCCGTCCCCTATCTCCCCATGTCTCCCCATGTCTCCCCATGTCTCCCCATGTCTCCCCATGTCTCCCCATGTCTCCCCATGTCTCCCCATGTCTCCCCGTATCTCCCCATCTCTCCCCATTCCTCCGTAGGTTGCCGCGCCCGCGCCCGCGCCCGCCGGCAAGAAGCCAGCCCCCGGCAAGGCGGCGCCGGCGGCGGCGACCTCCGCGGCCAAGGCGAAGACGCCCGGCGGCGGTGGCTGTGCTCAGCTTGCTGGTGTGTGACGTTGGCTTGTTGCCTTGCGCAGGGGAAGAAGCCGGTGCCTGAGCCTATGAACGAGAGCGACGACGACGACGACGACGACGACGACGAGGAGGAGGAGAGCGGCGAGGAGGGCGAGGAGAGCGGCGAGGAGGGCGAGGAGGGCGAGAGCGAGGAGGAGGAGGGCGAGGAGGAGTCGCTGGAGGGCGAGGAGGGCGAGGACGACTTCGACGACGAGATGGACGACGACGACGATGACGACGACGACGAGGACGACGACGACGAGGACGACGACAAGGACGAGGAGAGCGAAGAGGAGGTCCAGCTACCGAAGTCCGCCTCCAAGCGGCCCGCGCTCGCCCCGGCGGCGGGCGGCGCGGCCAAGAGGGCCAAGCCGGCCGCGGTGGGGGGCAAGCCGGCCGCGGCGGCGCCGGCGCCGTCAGTGGCCAAGGGCAAGGCGGGCGTGGCGAACGGCACCCCGGCCAAGGCGACGCCGGCCAAGAAGGGCGCGGCTGCCACTCCGGCAAGCGGCAAGGGCGGCGCGGCGGCGGCGACGCCGAGCGGCCCAAACACGTGGGCGGCGGCGGAGGACGCCAAGCTGAAGAAGGCGGTCTCCAAGTTCGCCTCGCCCGGCCGTGAACAGCGTCTCTTCACACCTGCAGCTGTGAACAGGCGCTCTCCAAGTTCGGCCCCGAGACGCCGAGCCGGTGGAAGAAGGTGGCCGAGGAGGTGATGACGTCGACATCGGTGGAATCGGCTGGGTCAACGTCAATGTCGATAGCTCTTTCACGCCGGATCCCCTTATTGTCTCCGATGTGTCGCGCCTGCGCGCTCGGCGTGTATGATATCCATATCACCCCATGCTCCACGACTGGGGCAAAAAAAACGTCTCCAACGGAGCTCCGTGTTGCTTCCAGCGCCCTCCCCCGCGCTTCCTGCGGCCATCGATGGCCGATACTACTAGTATGAGAGGTCATCTGGCTACCGCGAAAGCGACCCAACTTGTCGACCGATGCGATCGTCCGATGATGGTGCCGCAAAGTCAGCCTTCGGAGGCTATCGTGGGGTCGAGCCGGCAGTAGCTG